TTGGCCCGAAGGGAGCTCGATGCACCCCTGATCAATTAACATTTTAATCGGCATTTTGGCCAAAAAGTCTGTCCCCAACAAGCACGGAACCGCTAGCGAGGAAGAAACTAATATTGGCCCAGACAATTTTATATCCCCAATGCAAATTTGTGCTCGGATTTGGCCTATGATACCCAACAAACCCCCGTTTGCTGCGTAACACGGAACATCAACTGGCAGCAAGGGGCGGCTCTGCACAGGAAGGATATTATAGATCAAATCCGAGACAATAGTCGCTGACGCACCCGTATCGACGAGGACCCGCACCTCAACCCCGTCTATACACCCCGCGACCACGGACGTACTCGCCGACGCAGCAACAACACGGTGGGCCAATTTGGTCCACTGACTCGGCCCTAGCGCCCTCTCGACCCCGCCACAACCCGACGAACCCACGGTCGAACCCCGGGGTTTGTGCACTGGAGCGCGCGAGGTAGGGATATGTGTGTGCACAGGCCGAGCATGTGTGGTGCCGCGACTTGCCGGAGTTAGATGCGGGGGTGGGTAGGCTGGAGCACTGTCCGGCTGTGGTCCCGGCCGTGGCTGTCACGGTGCCCGGCATCCCGCAGCCACGTTGTAACAGGTGATGAGCACACCCGATGCTTTAGGTTGCTCCTGGCGGCCCGATGATGGTGGGACCGTCCTCCCCCCGGACCTCCACTCCGTAGGGCGACCCGCCGCGAAGACCTCCTCGGTGGGGGGGGTGGGGGTCGGCGTCCCAGCACACACTGCAGCCGCTCCGTTGGGGACGAGAGGTGGTCGACACCGTGACAAGAGATGTGCGTGGATGCACTTCGCCACCCGCAAGGAACACATGTCTGTGTCGTCCGCTGCGACGATAACAATCTGGAGCTCTTGAGCCAGCGCCAGAAGTTTCACCATAGCGTCCACCCCTTCACCGTCCATGCGCCGGAAAGCCGCCTTTGCGAGGGCCAGGAGAGCCATGCGGTATGCCAGCGGTAATTCCTTCTGGCCCCTGCGCCACTCGTAGAACGCCTGTCGACAGTCCAACAGCGGCCCATAGACTGTGGTGAGGACTCGTAGTGCAGACTGCAGCGTAGTGCGCGCCGCCTTGGGAGCCGTGGTGAGCGTGGTGAGGGCGTCATCGTCCAAGGTGGCCGGCAGTGCGTGAGCGCCTCGCCGTCCGTCCACCCGGACATCTCCTGATGGGCGAGGAAACGACGCTCGAAGGCCCCCCAGTCGCCTCCGTCAGATACAAATTCTTTGAACACCGGTAGACGTTGAAATGTCTGCTCCTCTTCCGGATGCCGCCTTGCGCAGTCCCCGCCGTTCCTGACATCATCGGAGTGCATGAGGGTTCCCATCGGCGGTCGCACAGGTGATGACGTCGCGACCACCGGTTGGCTCTGGCAGTGAGCGTCTGTCGGTGATGACGTGACGACCGGTGATTGGCCCCCGGTGTCCACGTGGTGCTGCGATTCCCGAATCACCGCGGCGGACATCGTCATGGCGGCAAGTCCAAAATCTGGCGGGAGCTCGGTGGCGGAAATGGCCATTGCTCGGCGTTCCCCGCCCTGCTGCCTCGGCGCCAGCAACCCCGCGCGGTTGATCTCCTCCAGCGTGGCGGCCGCGGCGTGCAGCAGCTCAGCCAGTCGGGAGTGAGCCGCCCGCAAGCTGTCCCCCATCGGCGGCCAGTCTCCATCTGCTGCGGCTGCTGGGCCGTCCCTGGATCCTCGGTCAGATCCTCTGGCTCTCCCCCAACAGCCCCAGCCGAGTCGTCCTCCGTCACAGGTTCTTGCGAGCGGTTCGTCCGTCTTGTATCCATTTTAAAACCACTTCTGACACCAGTTGTAGTGGGTTCCAGTGACACGGAGACGGTAGAGTAGAGGCAACACTTATTTATTTATAACAAGGGGTCACACTGAAGGGATAGCGGCCCCTTCACCCGAATACACTTAGGAATATCCCCCTAGGCTATCTAGCCTAAGCCTATGTTCCCCGGTTCCTCCAGCTAAGGCAGTGGTTCTTAACCTTGTTGGAGGTACCGAACCCCACCAGTTTCATATGCGCATTCACCGAACCCCTCTTTAGTGAAAAATAAAATGTGATTTTTTTCAAATTCAAGACATAGATATGTTTTTTACTGGTACACAAAATGAGCCGTGCATGAACATTACCTTGTTCAAAGAATAAAACCAACACAATGCATAAACTCACAACAAATTACATACCTGGAATTCAATGTGACTTCTGCTGTTGCCTTTGAGAGATCAGTTCAGATATGCGTGGCTTCACCTTGGCAAGTGCCACTCTCATGTCATTTTCACAGCAAAGTCTGTTCCTTTTCTTCGTTTTTATGTCCAGCATCCTCGAAAAGGATTGCTCACAAAGATATGTTGTAACAAATGGTATAAAAAAATCCAGGGCTTTCTTAGCAATAACTGGATACTTGTTCATTTGTCGACACCAAAACGTTGAGAGCGTTGTTGTTCTGAAGAGTTGCTGTTGAACCTGGCTCTGCTGAATTTCAATGATTTCGTCGAGGAATTCATCATTGACATCTGCTGTTTCAACAGCAAACGTGAACGGCTGTCTCACCCATGCTGGATATGACTCTCTTGTAGGGAAATATCCGTCGAGAGACTTTGCAAGCTCATCTAAGTGCGTGGCAATTGTTTGCTTCAGTTCCGTGGATACAGAAATATCTCCGATTCCAGACACATCTTCGATCTTACTTGCACAGTCGTCCAGAAGCGGGAAGTTTGCGAAGTTATTGTTCTCTGTTCGTCGTTTCCATAACGGTAGCTTTTTTTGAAAAGCCTTCAGGTGTTCTTCCGCTTCCATGATATTGACTCCACCACCCTGCATCTGCTGATTGAGATGATTGAGAGCTGCGAATATATCAGCCATGTACGCTAAAATGAGAATGAACTCAGGATTTTTGAAGCAATCTGCATGGCAGTGTTGGTGCTCTTGCAAAAACAGGGCTAATTCCACACGCATGGCAAAAACACGATTCAGCACCTGTCCCCGGGATAACCACCGAATATTAGAATGGAGCAGAAGTACCTCAAATTCAGAGCCCATTTCTTTACACAGCTCACTGAAGATGCGGTGCCTCAGAGCACTTTTTCGCACATAGTTCACACATTCCACCACAGTTTTTAATACTTCTGTCATTTTTGGAGGTAAGGTTTTTGTTGCCAACGCATGCCTGTGCAGAATACAATGCGTCACAATGATGTGTGGTGCATCGGCCTTTACTAGCGCACCAAAACCAGACTTTCTTCCCAGCATGACTGGAGCTCCGTCCGTACAAACTGCAGAAACCATATCCCATGAAAGATTGTTGTCTCTGAAGAAGTCATCCACAAGCTTCTTCACATCGGCTGCCTTCGTTGTTGTTGTAAGAGGCTTACAAAATAAAAACTCTTCTTTTATCATGTCGTCTTTCACATAGCGTACAAAAACAGCAAGCTGGCTTAGATCAGAAACGTCTGTGGTTTCGTCGAGTTGAAGGCTGAATTTTGCCGGGCTTGAAATCAGATCCGCGACTACTTGAGCCAAGATGTCTTTACTCATGTCTTCTATTCTGTCACTGACGGTGTCATTTGAAAGGGGAATTTGGGATAATTTACCTTCGGCCGCTGTTCCGAGTATCAGATTCGCCATCTTTAATGCAGCTGGTTTCACAAGTGTTTCACCAATGGTGTGTGGCTTGCCCTGCTTTGCGATCAGGTAAGCAACTTCGTACGATGCTGTCAGGATCGGTTTGTTAACAGGTACAAATCCAAGAGCAGGCAGAGTGGCCCTTTCATCGAATCTGGCTCTCTTCACCCTGAATTCAGCAAGTGTTGTGTTCTTGTATTCCCCGTCTCCATGCAGCTTCAAGAAGTGTTCCTTTAGTTTTGCCGGTGCAAGACTAGAGTTGCTCAACTTGGCGTTGCAAATCATGCAGATAGGACGCTCACTCCCATCACGTTCCGTGATACATGAGAATCCATGTTGTACATATTCGTCCGACCACTTTCTTCTTTTGCCCGACATAGTTAGTATGGATAAAATATTAAAGAAATCACACGACGTACGACAACAACAGTCACACGTTGACTACTGAGTACGCACTAAATTTCCCGCAGCGCTGATTGGCCAAGCAGTGTAGCATGATCATCTGCAGCCAGTGATGGCCAAGCGGGCCGTGTGTGTCATCACAAATTTACACAATAATTCAAGTGTGTCCGGACCTCCGTGGCGGGGGCTCTGCCGAACCCCTGAGATAGACTCACCGAACCCCTGGGGTTCGATCGAACCCAGGTTAAGAACCACTGAGCTAAGGGCTCTAGGGGAAGCTGTCTGATCTGGCCCTGGTTAAGCGCAGATCACGGCACCCCACCAACCAGACCGGCCCTTAGAAGGACGTCGGCTCTGTGGCTCCTGGGGCCGTACAACTGGCTTGCCCTGCCGATCCTGAGAAGGACAGCGGTCAGGGGAGTCCCAGGGTTCTACTTAGCTGGTCTTCTTTCTTCCCTGGTACTTCATTCTTGGCCCCAACACTCTGCCCCGAGCTCTCTCACTCCCCGCCCTTTATACCCACAAACCACTGGGCGGGGCTGTAGAAGCGGACGTGGTTGTAGCCACCTAGGATCACACCAAGGATCGGCTGTACCTCTGCATCTCACAACACCCCTACACATTTACTGTAATGTGGATTTATTAAAAAATACCAGTGGATGAGTATGGACGTAATGATGCAGCAGTTCATAAATATATATTTTGGCTCAATACATGTATTTGATTCACATGTTTTAATGTAAGTGGTTCACAGGACCCCCTCACACTGTTAAGAGGGCAATATAATTAACTATTTAAAGATGCTGTTTTCTTGAATCAAATTGTGATCCTACTGAACGGTTACGTTTTTATTGTGAGGGGTGGGTGTGAACTATTACCCATGTCGATCATGATGATTGTATAACTCTGGCTCCCTTATCCTCACGCAGTGACAGTGCTGCAATGGGGACACCGGGGGGAGGATGGACACATTTTTTACGTCACCTCACAAGTAACTTTCACGGAATGCGGTGCTTCAATTTCAACCAACGTTGACGGTGCAAGGTGGTGGAATCGGGATTGGTGACATTTCACTTGGCACTCGGTGCCTCTTAGGGGCAGCAAACCGAGGAATCGCCCCTCCAACCCTTCATTCACATCTATGTCCCTTTACACACCATGTGATGTTTAGCCGGTGCTGCTGCTTCTTCTACTAAACGTGGCGATCATCAACCGAACCCTCTCTTCAATGTGATTCAACGTTTGGTGGCCAAATTTCCCAATTGAACTACCACATCGGCGCCATTCAGAAGCGAGATCCTGCCATGAGATATTTCGCGCATGTTGAATTTGTTCAGAAAGTATGAGATAAGTGGGATTTTTTGTATCCTTTGGATATCGGTCTCTTATAAAGGGTAGATAATATATTTAAGCACCAGTCCCTCGCACACAACTAGTTCTCCAGCTTCAAGAATGCCGTCAAATGTACATAGTTCATAGCAGGATACGTCGATCACTGGCCTGTTTCACATCTCGTGCGAATTCAATATTTAGAAATGGACCTCAAATAAAAACTGACAAGTTGTGGAGGACGGTGTGGGTGTGATGAGGCCAACATTCGTCGGATGTGCTGCTCAATTGTGAGCTGGTTTGTTTCACTTGTATATGTATCACCACCATTCCTCAGTTTAAAAAATTGAATAAGTTATCCCATTGGCCGTTAAAGCACATGACATTTCACCAATCCTGTGCTATCCCCATGTAAATGAAATCTCAAAGTGTCACACTGTGAACGTTCTTTCTTCAGCTGAGGGTGGGTGATGACAAGTCATGAGATGCTGATTAGATGTGTATTCAGCCCCCCACTGCGAGACGCGATCACCAACAGCTTCCCTTTCAGTGGTGATGTGCTGTCTCTAACGTGTCCTTGCAGGCACTTGGTATCGACATTATCACAAGGGACCATCTGTGAATTTTACTAAGCACAAGTTTGGGAGCTGCAGTCATTACCAGAACATGCTGTCTTTATCAATGGTTTTCAATGTTCGTATAACATACATGAATAAAATATTCGACCAAAAGTAAAGTACTGGATGCGAATCCAACTGAGTGTAATGGAACCGGCAAGCTCACCGCCACTAGCTCTAACGAGACACGTTTGGGCGAATTGCGATGTTAAAAAAAAAATGCATCTGGCAGTCACGGTCGTTTGTTGGGGGGGAGTGTTCACTGCTTATTCTGTCATTAACCACTGCTGCTGTGATTATGGTGATTTACAATTAACATGGGTCCGTGTGTCGGCTGAAAGGGGTCTCTGCCAATTATTTTTCCAGGAATGCCTTGCCGAGTCTCAGACTATTTAAAGATGTTGCTGCTACTGCATTGCAATGTTTGGCCAGTGCTCAATCCGTGTTTGGCATTTGTGGTGAAGTATGGCCCAACAATGTTCCATGTCTGACATGGTATGAGTAGGCCTTAAATAAAAGTTGACAACTGAATATACTGATTGAAAACAAGAAGAATTGCAACAATGATGCATAGCACTATGGAGGAACCTTTATTCTCTACCTTTTCACGAAAGTGCTACATTGGGATGTTTGGCAAATTCCAATGATGAAAGTTTGGCTTGTAGGAGGAACCGAACACATGGGGAAATACAGGTACAGTAGACTCGAGTATTCGCGCTAATGATGGGAAGGACGGCCGTGGGTAACTCAATCGTGGATAATCCAAAAATATCCATTTTCCGTGAATCTCTATGCCAGTGATAACACTTTCCTGCTCCCGCGCAGAAGACTCCGCCCACAAACTGGACAGAGCAACGCCACTCAAAATCAAACTCCACCTACTGTAATGATACACTACAATACTGTAGAGGCGATCACGTGGATTTTGGATTAACCAGGGCACATTTTGTTCGGTTTAAGTACGTGACTTGTAATAAACATTCCAAAAATAATGTATAACTTTTTTTATATTATTTGGGCTTAATCGAAAACCCATGAGTTATTAATTTGTCAAAATCTCAGATGCGTAGTTAATCCACAAATCGGATAAACCGCATGCGGATGATCGAGAGTCAACTGTATTTTGATTCTGGTTTAGGGTCCAATCCTTGAGTCATCATTGCATCACGTGTACTCTTTTTCCGAGAATAGCATCTATATGGCGAACAATGTTACCACGTAATCGCTCCTCAAACACGGGATAATGCAGCAGCAAGATTCCAAACTAAATTCTCACTTGGCACCTCTAGACTGCTGAGTGCGCAATTATAAGTGAAATTAAAGCACAAGTTGGCCCCACGCCGACTTCAATACATTTAACCTCCCTATAGTGTAACGCGCGTTAGAAACCCCCTAAATGGGTCTCGAGCCTGTGCCGATGAAAGTGACATCAGTTAAGCAAGGGCCCGAGTGCTCGGGAACGGCTCACGGAGACTTAGCCTTGTCCCTGCGGTATGTCTGAATGTAGAAGTTGAGGGAGAGAATGATGAGGGTGACGATGTAGAAGAACACCAACGTCATTGAAGCCGTCGGAGAAGTCGCAGTCGGTGAAGAGGTTGTAGCTCGTGTGCAGTGCGATAGCGACAAATTGTGTCTGGAAATGACAATCGTCATTAACAACACGGTCAGCCTTGTCGCATCACGAGCACCTCACTCGTCATCACCATCAATTTGACACGTCGGCTTTCGCGACCAATATCCATAATTATAATTAATGAGGCTGGTTATAAAAAAACGTCGTCCTCGAATTGTAAATGTAGTGGGTTTACTCTCCAAGACACCGGTGTGCTGAACTAGTAACTAGTTGGCACGTTTTGTTCACGTGATGAACTTAATTGGCTGTCGGGTGGTAGCGGGTTTAACGGCACATTTATAGTTACGCGATCTAACCCAAAAAAAATCACCATCAAAGCATCAGTCGTCATGGCAACAGTGATCTTCACCATTACCCCACAGGTGTAGGTTCAGCTTCTAGTCCAGTGGCGTGCCGCTTAGGTATATAGGCGTGGGACAGCGTGCGAGTGGCCGGGGGGTGGGGATAAGGAGGCTCACATCGAGGATTTGGGGGCGCATTATGGTTCGCGGGATGCATGGGGCGACGGCAGCACCGGCGAAGACGGGGGGGTTGGGGGTCGTGTTGGGGGCGGTGCTTACGAGCTGGAGGATGGTGAGGTAGCGCTTCCACCACAAGTACTTTTGCTCCGCGGGCCCCAGCACGGAGAGGCCGTAGTAGGTGTATATGAAGACGTGCACGAACGAGTTCACCATCCCTATTAAGAATGCTGAGTCACAAATCAACTGCTCGCTCGTTCAATATTTAACGCGTTTTGATCAAGCCATTTAGTTTGCAGGGAACGCCTGCGTTTTGCCGCTCCTGTCTGCCATTAACTTTCTATCTAACTTCCATCTGATTTTCGATACTGTTTCTGTAATGTTTTACATTTTTTTAATATAACTAGCAGGTGTACCCGTTCTTCGCACGAAAGTAAAGTTGTCCATCACAGATGTGACGTGACCGCTCACTTGTGCAATATATTATATCCATTATTTCCCCCCCCCCCCCCAGATTAAAAAGTATACTTTTATACCTTTTACATTGTGTACAGTATGGAAGCTAGCCACATGCCAAATTTAAAGTTTGTAGCCTAGTATAGTATATTCATTATAACCCCCCCCCCCCAGCCGCGTATTTGTGCGGGATACATGGCCTACGAGGAGGGTTGGGGGGGGGTGTGACGTCGGCACGCACACTGCGTAACGCTGCCGCATGCGGGTGACTTGACATGTCACCGCTCATTTTCCGTGCAATATATTATATCCATTATTGCGCCCCCCCCCAATACAAAAGTCATTTTTTTAATACTTTTTGCATTGTGTACAGTCTGGAAACTACCCACAAGTTTGTTGCATGTTGGGAAGTATGGTAACATTTCGAACAAGGCACACATCCAACTACATGTATGGCAATAGGAGGGTCTTTGTGTGTGTATGCGTACGAACGTGTTTTCGGTTTGTGCGTCTTTGTGTCCACATGAGTCTATGTATCAGTGTGTGTCTGCTCTTGTGTATCTCTTTGCATCTGCCTGTGCTTGAACATATGTGTGAGTGTGTATCTCAATGTGGGGAGCAGTGGTGGTGTAGTGGTTAGCGTGTTGTGCTACGAACCAGGCGATCCGAGTTCGATTTCTGCACCACGGCCAACATCAATGACGATGATCTAAACCAGTCCTGGGCCTCCCGTAGGTTGACTCAACCTCAAATGAGTACCTGGTGCGGTGTACACATTGCCACGATGGAGACAAAAGGCAGCCCAGCATGGTTCTGGCCATCCACCCCCCTCGTGTGCCGTGCCGGCTTTCGTAGGTGCTCACTAACAGCACTTGCCCCAACAGTCTGTTGAGGCTATAACGGGGATATTTGTATTTTAATCTGTTTGTGGGGAACGCTAGCACAGTGGCTGCTCAACTAACCTGGAGACTCAACTTTTATTCCCGCTCATGGCCAACATCATTGACTAATATCTGAATAATCTAATATCTGATCTGCGGGCTGCCGGAAGCTTCAGCGACCCTTCTTCTTCCTGCCGCCTGCCACTGCCACCCTGCTGCTGCGGCAGGGATCTCACCTCGCGCCTGCCGCTTGCCTCACTCGTGCTGCTCTGCTGCATGCCAGTGTGCTCACTGAATCACAATGCCGTTGCTGAGCAATACATTCATGAACGATCATCTATTTTGCCCTTTAGAGCTGGCACGGTGCTAACCATATTGTGAATTAAAGCGACGCCGTCAGGATTTTCCTTTCATGGGAGGCCCTGGTTATCCGGTTATGGTCTCGCATTTACCCTCAGTTACTACGCCATTCTGAGTGCCAGTTCCTTTTCTGAGGTTCCATTAACTTGGCTTTTCACGCTAAGATTGCAAAACTGTACAGCCGTTGCTGCATTTTTTTGGTTCAACCGTTCCTCCTAATACCGACCCGTTCCTACTCGTTGCCCTGAATGAGAATAGGGACAACTTAATTTATCCTGGAGGAATATTATGAGCTGTGAAGCTCTTTTTTTCACGGAATGTCAAAACGCACGTCCACCGAAAAGCCACGGGGGTTCACGTGAACTCACCCTGCCCACCAGGAACATACTTCACACACAGCCACCAGTTGATGATCATGGAGGAGTGGTGGTACACGTGCAGGAACGTGATCTGGTTGAACTTCTTCCTCAGGATGAAGAACACCTGAATCGAGGACACCGCCAGCGGTGGACAGAGGAGGCGGGGGGAAACTCTTACACCGTGGGGCTCAAACTGTTACTCAGGGCTGTCACTGCCACCATGGTCTGTGAATGATGCTTGAGTTCAGGGCATGATGTGGTGTTGCCACCTGTCCCGAGGCTTGAACGGGCCTGCCCGGGAATTGCACCTGTACACTATACCACTACAGTCACTGGCGGAGCCAGTGGGGGGTGGGGGAGGGGTGGACAGGCACGTGCCTCCCAATGACCCGATCGAAATCTCTCATTTCGATCGGATCATTGGGGTTTATTAGTAATAAATCGGCATTTTCCAACCCCCACTGCCACTCTGTAGCATATTATTACGTGCCAGGGACTCTGAGATGATAGGACAATAGTCTGAGTCTATAATTGGCAATAAGCAAAGCAGTTATAAGTGACTCAGAATTGTACGCAGTTGCGTATACAGTACACGACTTATCTTAAGGCAAACCTTCAGCGAGCGCGATGCCGATCACACACGGTTCGAATTCGACCCTCGATCGATGGCTGCGCCATCGCCGCACACGCGTCAAATGAAAAGCAAGGGATAAGTCCGTTCTAACAACTATCATTTTTCATGGCTGGAGGGGTTGCCCCCCCTACCTGAAAATCCTGGCTCCGACATTGGCTACAGTACACACGACTCCACTTGCATACACGACTGCACAATTTCATTACACCAACTAAAATACCACGCAACTAAACAACACCACTAAACTAAATTCTCACTTATTCTTGGTTGTTTTGGTAAAGTCACGTAGAAGGAAAATAATAAAAATATAAAACAATACAATTCTCACGACGTTTCGACTGCAACACAAGCAATCATCATCAGGTGTGAAAACCACAGCAAGAAAATTTGAAAAAAGTGGCGGTTTTTTAACGTTAGCACCACGGAGAGCGATTTGGCAGTTTATTCAGATGGACGAGTCCATCTATGTTCGGAAAAGAGGAGGGGGGAGACGAAAATAATGGATGCGGTCTGAAAGCCACCATAAGCGTGAACAATCAATTAAGACCCGAAATGGTTTATCAAATCCTTCCAATGATTGTAAAGCCAGAATCCATCTTCTCGGTTGAAATTGTCTCTGTGTTTGTGTATGTGGATAGCCTCATGAACGAATCTCTCATGGTAGCCAGATGGCTTGCAGATAACCTGTCTTGGAGAAGTCAATGTCATGTGAGCCTACTGAATTATAATAGTGATCTTCCACGGTCGAGA